TCACGACTTTTGTTTGGGATGTGCCTTGAAAGGTAGCTCTAATATATTGTTTTTATTCTTTTGCTGTAAGAAATGAGGGATGTATTGCAAACCTCTTTTAGTTTTTGTTGAAAACGTAGAAAAAGGATTGACAGATTCGCATATGGCGACGACATTTCGTAAACCTAGGTGTTGGCCAAGAGATCCCAGTTGCGGCGACATGCAAGTTTTCTTAGTAGGATGCGTCATCCTACTCTTTTTGCTGCAGATTTTTCATCTCTGAAATGTGTAGTCAAATCTCTCCTGGCTCTCTGATATATTTTCGGAAGGTGATGCCTCCTAGGAAAGAATATCTCTTCCCTGCACAGTTTTTGGGTCCTCTGATGATCAACCGAACGGTCAACCTGCAAACAATCTGGAGACTGGGAAAATCAAGCATATGGCCTCAGAACTCGAACGAGGACCAGTGCAAGTTGGACTGCGAGCGGTACCCAACTGCCTAATTCCGCCTACGACGCCGCAACTGGTACCTCCTGCCCAACATTGATATTAAAGAAATGTCTCGTGCTCGCTGACACGAAGGATGCACCATGTAGTGAAGAAAGATACAAAAGTAGTTCATGCTTCAAGATTTCTCAGGACGGGGTTATGTTCAATCAAAAGATCTTGGAGAATTTCCACCCTGTAGATCTCTTTTCTATTTCCAGTGGGATTGCTCGTGTCTCTGAGCATAGTGTTGCACCCAGCGTTTATATGCATAGGCTCCGTTCAAAGCGGAAGGCTACGCAGATTGATGATCGCTGGTTTGTTGACTAGGCCTGTCTTCGCTTTGATAGCTTGGTGTTCTCACAATCAGTTTCCTGTACTATTCAACGATCTCGATAACAGAGCTGCCGCGAAAACAGCTGATTAGTTTGCTGGTCGTACCACGCTCTCCTTTGCCGCGAGAAATGGGTAATATCTTTGTTATCAAATACAGGGGGGGCCAAAAAAAAAGAAGACATTTTGCCTCCACTTCTAGATGGATTTACCGCACATTTTACTCAACTCAGACCGAAACGTTCCAACTTAATTATTAAAAGAGTGCATCCATTCTATAAGAACATCTTCATAGTTGCCACGTACTGGAGCCGCATCAAAAAATTAAGCCCTGAAACATGGAGCACTGGTCGATCTCAATGGCGTCTTCGAAGGATCGTTTACCATAACGAACCCTTACTGGAAAGCTAGTCCGAGGGATTTGCACAGTGGTAGCTAATGCCTCTAGAAATCTATATCTCAACATTAAATCGATTCACGAAATTGCGTAAGAGCTTCAGGCTGAAGCTCTTACGGTATACCTCCTTGAGCTGACGACGGTGACAGATGACGTCTATATTCGAAGACGGTGAGGCAGTGAAGGAGAGCCTGCGTACACTAATAGAGAACACTTAGGATATACTCTGTGAGAACTCCCGTCAACGACAGCAAATCTCTGCGAAGAACCAAAAGAGCCGAAGTCCGACATAGGAAAATGTCTTTTTTTTGCCCCCACTGTATATTAGAAACATCAACTTCAACCCATCACAGCTTGCCCAGAATGCTCAGAGACGTGACGACGCGAGCCAGGAAATAGGCTTGTTTGCTCTCAAGGTATCTCTTCTGAAATAGCGGTGTGATTTTGTACAGGTTCGGATGAAATTGTGACAAACAGTTTGAGTCGGTCGCTTTCGGGGGGTCTACACGTTGGAGATACCATCGAAAATTTCGTAGGCAAGAACGATTTGACTGCGGACGACCTTTCTGTGAGTCACTTAGCTTCATTTGGCGTAATTTTTACAATGAGAAATAGTTTCTAGGACTTCTTCGCCCAAATATCCAACTTGCCCTTACGCGTGTTCCAAAAGTATGAAACACGTTTGAAAAAGCGATTCGATCAACTTTCAAAAAATGCTGGAGAACAAATAAAGAGGGCGCTTTATGAAGGTATTTTCACCCTAATGGGTTTTGTCTGAGCTCAATCTCATTTTTAAAGGCTTCTCGAAACTTGCATCAGTCTCGCTGCTGACGTCGACTGTCAATTATCCGACTGACTACGCACATCTACCTGAGAACAGCGTTTTGCGAGCAGTTGTTGCGCAATTTTGGTGAGAATGAGATCCCTTTCGCTGGACGAAACTTTGTATGATTCCTTGGCAGTGAGCAGAACTGTACTGTTATATAACAATTAGATTCCGTCGATCAAGTCTAGTTTCTTTCATGGCTACTCGAGTTTGAAAGGTTACCGGAACACTGACTGGTCCCACCAGTAGTTGTGTGGGGCAAACAGCATTCAAATGCCTGCGCTACTCGCATTAGGATTGGCACTGAAGGGAGGGATAGATGTTGATCATTTTGTATTCAGTACCTGATGCCTTATACTCGAAATCAAAGTGACTGCAATCCTACGATCACAGATACAGCTTGCAGTTGTTTAGACAGGCGACACGGACCGGCTCTCCAATTTTTAGCGCAAGAGCCTTCCATCCCTATCTCGTCTCCAGCTCCTCTTATCTACTGTGTTCACCCTTATCCCCCACCAACTCCTCCATCCCTGACATGACAAGTTCTCTACAAGTTGCGAGCAGTTGCTCCGACTGCACCCACCGCAGTTGCTCTCGACATCCTCCTTCTTTTTTTCGTTCAATGAAGTCACCCAGAAATGTATTTTTTTTTATTCAGTGAGAAATCTCAGTGTGAAAGAGAACTTCTGCATGACCTACTGTCAACACTGGTTGGCCATATTCGGAGTGACGGCCACCGCCTTCCACCCTTGGATCTTCAGTCCATGTTATCTTTGGTAGACTACCGCAACGACGAGCAGGCTCGCTTGAATCTTCTTTCACTTGCTATTGAGCAAAAAGATCCTCAGGTACTCTTCCTTTTTTTGATGGACGTTTGCGTTACGATATAACTTTGTCGCTCAAAAGTACAAAGGTCACAGAATGAAAGCGTGGCGTTGAAGCACGACAGTTTCAATTTCACATGGGTTTTTTAGAATGCTCCTAAGGAAAGGTGACTAGTGGAAATACAGTAGCGCTCAAAAGTCTTTGGCCAAATACGGCGGTAACTTTTTTCTGCTAAATCTAATGGTTTCAAATTTTGTGTTTCGAAGGCAAGCTTACTTCTCTAACCATCCTACTCATATTGAATGGGTGAAAGAATTGAGATTGGGAAAATTATTTCTCTGGAAATCCACAAATGTGACCACACTCCGCGTGATTTGAAATTGTTGTAAAAAGCTTACAACGTGACATGATAAAGCACTGAGCAAATGTAATGCTTTGTTCATTACCTTCTAGTGTCCCTAAAACCATTACATAGTCTGGTATGGTATATTCACTGTTCATTGAGAAGATTTCCTCCATTTTCTTCGGATTTGGCTTGTTTCTCGTGAAGCTTCTCCTTCATTCTGTTGCCGAAGATTTCTTCACCCTTCCTATGACGTCGTGATAGTGCTTTAGACATATTTCTGAATCGGTTCTCCTTTGAGCAAGCAATGTTCTTCATTATAGTAGGGGTGCGATGATTTGGTTCGCTCTACTGCTAGTAGACTATGTCAGCACCTGCCGTGCAGTACCGCACAGCTGCTTCATCTGTAGATTTCAAACACCTCCTGCAGTCTAATCGTATTCGTCCGCATTCACCACTTAAATCCACTTAAATACTATACAGATGTTGCACCCCTTTTTCCGATCTACTAACCGAACCCTCTGCCTTGTTTCATGCATGGCGGTTGATTGGATCAGAACAACATTCCCGTCAAGAGCTCCTCATGCCTGGTGTCCTCACCGCCAAACATTCATTTACTCTTTCGCTTCAGATGAAGTCGAAGCTAGCTCTGGGCGAAACGTGGCTTCAAGTCAGTTGTGGGCAGAGCCATTCCATTTCTTATTGCCCCTCTGGACTTCATAGGATTTGAGAAGAAGTGTATGCAGACGTGCTCTGGTAGATTCTAGGTGGAGTAGTGTACACCCTGCTTCAGAAACCAGAAGAGCGTCGAATGCAGAACACACGCCATAAGTGACGACGGCCTCCAAGTAAAACGTGTAACTAGCGGTTCATAGTGATATCTGGTGGTTGGTAAATAAGAGTTGTAATTAGTGACAACTGAAGGAATGCAACTGCAACAGGCCAGTCATTTCATTGGCAGAAAGCACATTTTGTAGAGGCGATCGTCACTTGTGGAGCGTGGTCTGCATTTGGCGCACTTCTTGTTTTCTGAGGCAGAGTATGTCTTCACTTGAACCTACAGAGCAACCCAAAGCAACGCACCTCAACTATGCAGAAGTGCTTTCCGGAGCATGACATGTCTTTGACAGAGGGTCATATTCAGGCCATGTCTTAAGCTTCACCAAACACTATTTGAGAAGCTGGGAATACCTCAGACAAAAAACAGCCAGGAACGATGGGAAGTCTGAAGAAAATCGAAGAAGTTACCCCGATAGAAACTGGATTTATTTACCGATTCCGCACATAGGCCCTGCTCAGGTTTCAGCAACTCTGAAAAATTATTACGCAAGTACTGGATCTGCTGTATTGATGTATTGTAGTACCGATCGTTTTACTGCATTGCAAGCCTTTTACGATAAGTTGTTACTTACTTGAATTTTAGCTATGCTTAGGAAATTCTACTACGATATATTTTTTTCATTCTTCAATTTTTTTTCCATTCGAAAAAAAAACATACGGCTTAGTGAAGAGATCTACCCCAAGAACATATCAAAATTTGAACTCATTTGAAGGAATAGAAAGGAAGTTGCCGCCGAAAGAGTGTTTGGCCAACGACTTTTGAGTGTTACTGTATGCTAGACAACTCAAAAAAAACCACTCCGTCAAGCTACTCACGTGAGGCAGAGTTAATTATCACTGATTATTTCATGTGGGTGAAGTGCACGCCCTTTCAAAAAATGAAAAGAGCGTCGGGTGCAGACCGTACACAACAAGTGACGACGGCCTCCACAAAAAGTAAATATTTTCTGCCAATGAAATGGTTAGCCGGTTGCAGCTTTATTCTATCAGTTGTCACTAATTACAACTATCACTCACCGACAATCATCTAACACTATGAATCACTTCAAAGCAGATTACTTGGAAGCGTCGTCATGGAGTGTCTGGGTCAGCATCGACTCTTTTCTAGTTTTAGGGTAAGGATGGGTAAATAGAGTGGTCTATGGGAATCAGGACTGCAGTGTCTAAAATGCAGGGATGGAAAGTGGAATGGATTTGAAAAAATTCACTTTGCTCATGGCGCTCATCAGCTATGTTTACTATTCATAGGGCATAAGGTAGACGAATGGTGCAGAATATAGAAAAGCAGTTGCAAACCTCTGCTCATAGTCCTCACTGTCTTTGAAATGTGAACGTCAAGAAATACAGAAATTGCTCCAGCCAGCTGCATATCTATCCAGTCTGGTGGATACTCTTACGGACCGAGACTCTGATTGTGCAGCATTCCCATCACCCTCAATACAAACTCGCTATCGTCCATGATTCCAATGCAATCTCTGACCACCCGGTGCACGCTGTTGTTGCAGCATGAAGCTCGCTGGTGCAGCAAGCTCATCCCGTGTTTGTGGTGTCTGGGCTGAGTGAACCCTTACTAATACTTCTGGCTACGCGATGGTGACTTTCTTCTAGTCATGCTGTGAAATCGTGATACTCGTGCTCCTGCAAAGCTTGGCGCCAATGAATGGTTTTCCGGAAACGCTCATTGAGTTACAATCGAAGAGCGTGAACAAACCTCAAAATGTAGCAAATTGTCTATTCTGTGGTGTTTTGGTGGAAAAAGGTTTGCTTTCCTTTATGGCACACACCGGCCTTGACACCATCTCTGCTGCGCTCAGTGCATGTTTTCCAGCAGGTTTTGCAAAACATTCTAGATTTGAAAGGGTCAATTTGTATGAGGAAAGAGGCAACAATGAGCACTCCTTAGCACTACGAAAGGAATACTCTTGTTCCTCCTGGTAGCATTGTGAAAATGCCGTCTTAAGAGGCGAAATCTGGGTTCCGAATTAGGCCAAGCGTGACTGTGCGACAAGCGTAATACAGAGAGCTAAAGCTACAACTAGTGTGCGGTTTCCATTATGTTATACCTGCTATATGGTATTGGTTGTTTCAGATATTATACGAACTCACTTGCCCGCAATTGTTGAACGGCACTTCTACATCCGCTTCATACTGGACAACAGTCTCGAAAAATCTGCCTGCTCTTATACGTGTTCTGCCAGTGTCTCGGGCTAGAGCGGTAGTTAATGGTTTGCTGAAGTTTGCGCTGCAGTGTGCTGATAATGGAGCTACAAATCTCCGTGTACATCAACGACTAGTAAAGGACGCCTCAACATACGCCGTTACTATTCACGATGTAAAGAAAACCCAGGTTAGCACATTTTCCTCAACACATTTTTTGAACAGCGAGCATCTTCCTGTTCTTCATTCTGTTCGCTCGTTCGTCTTAATTAGTTTGTGAAAACTAACATAATCTGCTCACTTGTGGCATTGTTTTGCTCCTTTCTAATTGTTAGTGCTACCACATTTTTATAAAACCTAAGAATTCTTTACTTGCACAAGTTAATTAGTAAGGTCAAATATATCGATCCGCCTCATGGCATGCCTCCTAACTGTATCAACTTGAGCGCTGGCTTAATTACTTCTAAAAATCTGCGCCAGAACGATTTCTGTGAGTTCATTTCATACATAATCTTCTTGCTTTGAATGACAATCACCCCCATGTAGTTCAACGGCCGAATTAGCCGTCCCACCCACGAAACGCAGCTGTTATTTGTGTAGGTCACGGGGTCATTTTGCTGGATTCGTGTTCACATGAGCACGTCTTGTTTATCTCGCACATATCGAAAGCATGAACCATATTGTTTCATCTTCAGAGGCACCTGTGCCGAACGATTTTCCCATCATTTTGGGCTAATACTCTGCCATTATTGCATAATTGCGCGCACAATTCAATATGATATTATAGACCATACGAGGTACTATAAGTGCTGGTCTCAAACTACTCTTTTAAATCTGAGAATCAGACTGCTGAAAGACATTACGAGCAAAAGGTTGCCAATGGAACGTGTTCGAACGTGCAGTCAAGACGTCTCAGGATTGATCCTTTGTCGTGTTCCATTGTTTTACCTCTCTGACAATACAGTGATAACGCTCCTGACTAGCCCTAATGTCAGCGATTTGAAAAACGCACAGCATGAACACGAAATAAGGATAGGCCACTTTCTCGCACTCTTTTTTCTCATAACCCCAATCCGAGAATTTAGCAAATTTGCCCCAATAATTCAGAGAGTGATTGAAGCCGCCATCTAGCGCACTCATACCCTTATTTGAATGGTCATATCAGACTTAGATTCTTTCCTTGTTCGGTGTTAGGGCGTTTTATGTCATAAGTGACTAGAGTTGATATTTATGACACTCAGGGGTGAAAGGATCCTTTTGGGCAAGTTCCATCTCAATGAAAATTCGACCTGATCTCGAAAATCGTCCACCGCAGTCAAAAGCCAGCTGGTGCTCTCCAACTAACTAGGTGCCTATCGGTTTTCAATGGACGACGGCAACGTACCTATGCAAAAGCAGCACTTTAGTCCTCAATCATGCAGACAGAAAATTTGCACTTTTCTTTTTCAATAGCTTGACAAAAATAACGTTTTGTCATACAAGATCTCCCTTTGAATGATGATTGTATAAAGGTTGGCTTTATTTTGAAATTACGTTACTTCAGTGCGCACGGGAAATTTGCCTTAGGGTATTTTTTTTGAACAGAACCTTACTGCGCAGGAAAGGAACGTGACTGATTGTCAGCTTTCCCCACGCAGTTGCAACTTGAAGGCCGTATTTGACGTCTTTCGAAGACTACCGAGTATAAACCATTATCTGGTTGTGCCCAAAACAGAATCCACCTGAGAAAAATCGTCCACGGAAACAATAACAGTAATAAGCCGTTTCTATTGCCTGCCAAAAGCCGTAGGCTGGCTCAAGCGTCCACGACTCCGCTCGCAGGTTCGCTGATTGCGCGACCACCGGTGCACAGCGACATTCTTCTCCAATCCCGCGCGCTACCTTCTCTCTATGACGGCTCAATGACGACGCTCATGCGGTTCCGCCTGTTCATATTCAGTGTTTCAGATGTTCAAGAGCAGCTCGTGATTTTGCGATCCGGGCGTTTCAGCTCAATCGCCGCAAAATCAGCCTAAAGCACGATGACAATCTGGCGAACGGATCGCGGACTCTGACACCCATTCTTACTGTTCACATTTGCCGATGATGTAGGCAGTGATTCCTGCCATGCATACGACTAGCAACCTTCACAAGCTTCTTAAAAAGGCAATCCGGCTCGGAAGAACCATGAAATGCGCGTGTCGAAAATGGAGATCGGAAAATGCGGATGGTTACGTCCTCTCGAAAACGACATCTAGCGGCATGTTTTTATAGATTCTAGCAGCTGTCTGTAAATGAGGTAAACGTCGATTCTGAGTGGAGTGCCTGCGTGGTTTCTATCGGGCAGTCATATGTTCGAATATGCTGCGCGTACTATAAATGTGCATCAACGACAAAGCCACAATATGGTCAAGTTGTGAGGAAGCAAACAACATGAAGTCGAACTGTTGGCCGTGCGGCAAAGAAATCCATAGAATTAACAGAGACGGTAGAAAAAATGAAAGAAACCGACAATCCTCGGCATTTTTGTAAAGTGGTGCTAGTCACTGTTGAAAGTCAAGCAAGACACTTTTAATAGGCGGCAATTTACGCAGCCCAGGAATCTGACACCGTTGCTTGAAAAGTCGATACCGAATTATTAATTGATGGCCACTGCGTTCAGAACTTATTTTACCCAGATTTAGATAACTCTTAATTTCCAGTGGTTTGACGTTGCTTGCCCCCCGCATCTTCCCACTTGTCGACTCTCCGTCGACCTACTACATAAACACGTAGTTGTGGTGTAATGATCAACGATTCCATGTCGGGTATTCCAAGGTATGATGCAAGAAGCCGCGTAACAGTTTGAAAAAAATGCAAATATCTGACTTCTAGAAACATTTCATTTGGAGGAAGCACCGGGTTAGAGCAGAAACCAAAAATAAGCTACCGTCGACAAATATGTTGATCGAGCAGCGACGAAATCGTGAGTAGCCTGCACTCTAGTAAGTCTTTGCCACGTGGTCCTCAAAGGTAGCATTAATAGCCGCTCATCCACGATCGATATGCTGTCATGATTTCTAATTAAATGTCAGGACATTTCCAACCGACTAACAGATTCTGCATCTTCTACTTATTCCTGCGAAAGAGATCGTGACGAGAGATGTGATAGGACGAGGTGTTTCGACTGTGACGCCACTCTTGCGAACCCCTCATGTTGCTGAACATCCTGTGAACTCTAAGCTATTAACCCGTTTCCACAATTTCATGTCGCGAAGTTGAGTCATGATAGGACCAATGGCTTGCCGATCCTTCTACCTTCCAGCTAGGCCTTCACTCTACTGACCTAATCCTGAGTACATGCCCAAATAAACACGTGACAGTCGGGCCGTGTGCCGCACCCAGACGCAATTGCGGAAACGTTCGTGGCAAGGAAACCCACTGCGTGATGTGGTCCTCAGACCTGAGTATCCGCTGAAAGTATACAGGGGTGGCCAAAAAAAACTACAACTTTCCTATCGGCGCACATCAAAATCGCACTTTTTGCTCGCACAGGGCCTCCGATGTTAAATGAGATTTTAATCGGCGAATATTCCACAAGATTTCCTACTAAGGTCAGAAGTAGCATCTTTTCAACTGTCCTCCACCCGTCCTTCCAAAAATATACTCATCGTCGTCACCGTCCGAGCTCCCCAACGAGCCTTGCCTTGTAACCGGGCTTCGGTCCCTGAGCGCTACATGACTTATCAAATGATTAGATGGTGAATAACTTCTAGTATGACACAGCCGTACTTTGCAAGACCCGCTTTAACCTAACGTTTCGGTGAGGTCGTAATGGCCTATGGTACAAGCCTATCGACGAATTCGTGAGCTCGTACGTAAATATGTCTTCCCTGGAAAATCTTCTGAATGTAGATCGTGCAGCAAGCGTCACGTGACATTAGATAGATCAAAGTGTGCTCTTTGATACTAAGTTGGTTTCAGGTCGTTTGATTCTAGCAAAGTGATGATTAATACTGGCTGAACTTGAAAGTGAAGTAGTCTCTTTTTTTGGCCACCGCCCGTATGTTCCCGGAAAGTCATATTAACCTATTCCAGGTGGAGTTGATTATAAGTGGCATAGCGATCAAACAAGAGCAGCGCGCACTAAATAGGAATGATGCAATCGTGCTCTATCGCTAGAAACCGTCATGGAGCGAATAAAACGTACACGACGTCGAATACAGACCCACCGGTCGCTCTTTCTGCCTAATTGGGATACGTTACTTCAAAGCGTGACATGAAACCAGAACAATGATACAATTGTGTGAATAACACGTTGCTGCAACAACGTATCGTAACGCCCAACCTGGATTATGGGATTGTTTATCCAGAGGGCATGCGCGCATGTATCGCGGCCTCTCTTGCAACCTGACACCGAATCTCCCGCAATGAAATCGCTTCAGTAATTTGACCAGTAGTTCTAATTACAATACAATTACACATTTAAGTCATAACACATTCTACGTCGATGGCCGCCCATTATGGCTTCAAACAACATCGCTCCTCGCCACAGTTTAGGCCCTATAAGGGCTGTCCAACTGATAATCGCCTGCCCAGGTCGCTAGAAGGAAACATAGGTATGCAAACGCGCGTATCGATGTTTAAAATGCTCAGAAACTCCTTCACTGTGAAAAGGTGCATTAAAATTGCTCTCTTTTCGTAAGCACAACTGAACCGTTCGTCGAAATCCTACTGTCTTCTGTTGCAGATAATCTTTACCATTGGAGCAAAATATTTCTGACCATCATGTTTTGTTCATTTAACAACCACAAAATTCTGCGGTATGTGTGAGGCGCGCGGCGCCCACAAAAATCGCGTCCGTCTCATCGAGACCGCAAAGTGGAAAGGGGCGTCGTCAAAGAATGTGTAAGAAGTGCGAAACACTTGAATCTTTTCTGAGAGCGGTCGCAAATGGCTGACGAAATTGACCTGCATACGCTGCCCTTCTTGGCTTCTCATGTCGAGAGCACCTTGATTTCCCGATCTGAGCCAGAGTAGGATTGTAAAGACTTGCTGCTTGCCACTCTTCTGCCATCCTAGCGCCCCTGCTCAGAAAGTGCCCATGTGACAGTGCTCAACTACGGAGGTGGAACACAACTTTTTCAACCAACCGTAGTCAAGGGTTAAAACTCTAATTGTAACACGAAGCGGCAAGCCATAATTCAATGCGCATACCAAAAACACGAC